GGATGACAACAAAACGGGAACGAAGAGAAGAAAAACATCTGAAATACGCTCCCTGGTCAAGAAAATCCAAAAGAAAAAGCATCTCTAAATCTACATCCTATCCTGGACACCGGCCCCTCCTGACCACCAGGGGTCTCTCTGAAAGATGTCTCCAAATCCGACCTCACATTAATCACCAGCGGGGATTGTTCACCATTCAGAGGTCAGCCAGTGCATCCTTCCACACTTCTCTTCTGGCTGATTTAAATCTGCTTCATAGACCCCAGTAGTCTCGACAGAACCCAGGCTGTAGTGACCCTAGCACAGGTTCAGGGAGCAGCCATGCACACGCTCCTGTGCAAATGCGCATGTGGAAGAGGCTGGATGCAAATGCACCGTGACCTGCCAGAATGCTCGGGCCCACTGAGAGCACCTTTCTCCAAGATAACTGCTGTAAGCTGAGGTGAAGATCCAGGCTGATCCAAAGGTTTACTGAAACCCAGAGCATGCCTGGATTTCACTGTTGGTATCAGTATAAATCCTAAAGTGTATGAATGTGCAGGAAAAGAAAGAGGGAGAGAGAGAGAGGGAGAGAGAGAGAGAGAGAGAGAGAGAGAGAGAGAGAGAGAGAGAGAACACAAAGAACATCTCCCTCTCAGGGCCACCATTAAGTGAGGAAAAAAGGTTTAGAAACAGCAGCTGGACTTTGTCATCCTCCCCAGTATCTACTATCTAGTTCCTCTTTTGCAGCCCAAGGGAATCCCACTTCTGAAGTGTCCTAAGGCAATGGCTTCTTTTTTCTCTCAGTTAAAAACTGCAATTCTTCAGAGATATTCACCTGCATCAAGCGGAGGGGAAGCTAACATGCTTCACTCACACTAACACAGAAACCAGCCCAACGTGTCTGCCTGCACACTTTGGCTATACCAGATGTGCCCAATGAAGACGCTTTAACAAGAGGAAGTCTACCCTTCCAGCCTGTTTTGAGCAAGTTGCATTCATGAATCATACACTGGTAGTAGGAACCAGAGATAGCTGTTCGAATTTGCTAGCTATTTAGAAGCTATTCAAAGCACAGTAAGGACTTGTCTTCATGGCAAGCAGAAGAATGGATGTACACAGTTTATTCCTGACTCTCTCTTTATCATGTGCTTCTTAGCTCTCTTTCTGCTTCTTTCCCTAGGGTAGGAAACTCAGCAGGCTTGGTGCTGAAGCTCAAGTCAAACTCTAATCCAACTTAGACAAGCCTCTGGGAAGGGCATGCTCTAGAACCTCGATGGGGACCATGAGCACCAGAGCCTTTATCTGGCACCCAAGATCTATCCAGGTACCTGGATCTTGGTTTGTAATGGGAATTCACTCCATTAAACATCTGGAAATGACTACGAGTTAAGCCAACATGGTGAAAATGGATTGCAATTTTAATTTAGATAACGCCACTCAATGAACAAATTGAGTCCTTGAACATTACTTAACTATGTTTAGAAGTGATGACATTAACAATTCTGACCAATTCTAACATAACTACTGCAGTCAGAAATGTTTCAACCAATATTTATCGAGCACTACTATGCCTCTGGCACAATGCCCAATACTGCTAATTACAGGAAATAATGTTGACGTAAAATAAGCACAAATATGCATCTGTTTTGATGGCATCTAGCAATATGCCTTATAATTCACAAAACATCTCCCTCCTGCATTCAGGAAGAACAGACCAAATGCAATCCAGTGATCAAGCATCATTTCCACACACTAACTTTCATTTGGCTCTTTGATCATATATGTTTATTAAAATGAATCATTATAGCAATTCTTATACAAAAATGGACAGCAACATTCCTTAGAATATAAATGAATTGATTGTACTCATACGTGTTCATGGGGGGAAAAAAAACTGTGAAAGGTAAAAATATTTGCAGTACTCCAGCAAGGCTGAGCTGGGGTGAGTTACCAGCAGATGCGAGATAATTCTATTTAGGTGAGGAAAGAATGACACAACCAGCCGGAACTAAGGGGACTCAGAATAAGCCTGTGTGCCAAAGAAAACCACAGCAAGTGGTTTCAGAAAGCATTTCTTGAAATCCTCGTCCTGCTGTCTGTGCTTATACTGTGTTAGCCGACGACAATGTAGCAGGGCTGTCACTTCGCTCCCAGCAGATGGCCACTTACTGTTGGGTCTGATTTCTCTTAAAGCTTCAGTCTTTCTTAATTCTTCTTATATTTATTTAAAAATAAAAATTCAGTGTGTTCTTTAAAGCCTACAAAGATGCACAAACCAGAAGTTTGCATGTCTGGGCTGCGTTCTCACTGGTTGCATAACATTTTTAAAAAGTAGGCTTTTATTGAAAAATAGAGCTTGGCAAATGAATAGTCCTTAATATGGATAAAGTGCATTTGGAATGCATTCATAAAAATAAACAGCCGAGCTATTTAACTGTGGGACGCATTAACTGCAGGCACATTAATTTCTTCTCAATTTTTTATATTTTGTCACCTTTGAAAAGAACATGGATTTTCAGAAGATTCACCAAAACAGATAAATTTCATAGGAATACAATCCTGTTTTCAACAGATAGTATAAAGAAATTAACAAGGCCTGCAACTTGATACACCCACAGGTTTTTAATTTTTTAAGAAAATTTGCATTTAAATAATCTTCTAGCAATTAACCTATCTCATTAAGATAAATTTCATTTTTTCCAAAACCCTTCTTAACTTTTTTGTCTGTCATCATTTGCATTGTCATAGCTACATGGGGTGTTTTCACAATTTTGAATTCTTTTTCATTTTTTCCTATATTATAAATGCTTTTCATGTTATTTCATATCTTAACTTGGTTTGGGATTAGAATAATATTTACATTTTTAAAAACTGATGCACATCCCATAATTTTACATGTTGCAGAAAAATATATAAAACATGAAATTAATTATTTATTCAAAGTTTGGAGAAGAAATTAAAAACCAATGGATCTATCAAGACACATGCTTTGCAAAGTGGATTTTTAAAAACCTGAATTTTTCTTGCATTATTACTTATTTTTAGAATTTTCTTACCTATAAATTTATAATTTAATTTGAATGGTTGATATCAATTCATTTCACATACACAGTGAAACACATTATATTGTCAACCAAGGGTACTGTGTATATAGTGTATAATTTTTTAAAATATTAATTATACATTGACAATGTAGCCATTTCTAACTTTAACTTTTGAGTTTTTGCTTATTTTATTATTACTTTCAAAGAGTCACTTTTTGATTTATTTATTTTTCAACTATTTTACCTTTCCACATTTTTTTTCAGTTACCTGTATTAAAATAACATGGTTTCTTTTCCCTTCTCTGAAAAATAAAACATTCATATATCCATGACTTTCAAGCTCTACTCTGGTTACTTTAGACATTAATACACAACTGTATTAGTTAGATGTTAATACATAGTTAGATGTTCATATATAGTTCATTATCTGTCAAATGTCATTTTACTCGTATTTCTTTCTAGCCCCAATTCTTACAAGACTTTTTTGTATTTCTGCATGCTTGGGGATGTTCATATTGTTGGAACTGGAGATACATACTGAAAACAAGGTTGACTAAAGAATGTACACATATTATCACTGAGTCTTCCTAGATCACACATCTTGTGTATACTTGCAGACACTTGAAAATGAAACTTGTGGCTGAATAATCCAAAAAGTACATTTAACAGACCAAATTTACGGGGGCTGGGGATTTAGCTCAGTGGCATAAATGCCTGCCTTGCAAGCAGGCAGTCGTGAGTTCGATCCCCAGTACCGATAAAAAGGAAAAAGACAAAAAAAAAAAAAAAAAAGACCAAATTTACATTCTTTCTTAAAGCCTTGTGGTTCTTTTACCAAGATTCTCAAAATCATGAGGATTAAATAGGAACAACCATTCAGCACCTCTGTTGCCTAACATATCATAACTAGGCAGTAAATTCCAGAAGGTTGGGGGCTGGGGATTTAGCTCAGCAGCATAATCGCCTGCCTTGCAAGCAGGCAGTTGTAAGTTCGATCCCTGGTACTGATAAAAAGGAAAAAGACAAAAAAAAAAAAAAAAAAAAAAATCCAGAAGGTGCAGGTATAATCACAACAACATCTTTTAGTAGTGACGCTCTTCTACTTTTTATGCAGGCTCACCTACACTCTTTCACTGGAAAAGAGTAACTTCGGAGTTCTTTGTCTGGCTTTTCTTATCTGTGATTTAATATGGCTGGACTGGATACTTCTGAAGTTGTTTCCAGATCTAACACTAACGATCATTTGCTGGCGGTTTTCAAGACTCAGACTCTATCTACACCAGATGTAGGTCACACAGATTCCTTGTTCCAAAACAACCTGTTCAAACACTCTGTCAGAGCAAATCTTTCTGGGAAGTGAAGTCAGGATAGAAAATTTACCAAACATGCTACTCCATCTGAATGTTTTGGACAGGTAGAAATTGATTCATTATTTCTGGAACGAGAGCAAAAAATTCAAAGCTATTTATCAACCCTACTTGTGCTTTCCAGGAATAAAAATAAAATTTCCAAAGCAGTTGAAGCCAGACCTATACTTTTCAAAAAAACCTTGGCAATCATGTTAATTTGTGTTTATTTCCAGCAGTATTAGAAATCAAAGTATTTAAGAAAAAAGATGGACTATAAAGTAATATAAGGTATTTGCATGAATGGCTGTAATCCAATGCATTTTTGTGTTATAAATTATTCATAAAGGGCACTAGACATGTGTACCTCCTCTAAACACTGCTAGCATTAAGATTAAAATTATCATTAAGAATATAAATTTTATCCTCTTTATTCAAATTGAAATTTTCTCATCTATAAGACCATTATCTACAAAGCAACATATCAATTAAAAGCAAAAGTTCTAAAATTGAGTTATAAGTAATGTATGAATAAGCTTTAATTATGTCAAATTAAAACCCTCTCCCTCAGTTTTGTTTCTGTTCTACCCAAGATATCACAGTATTAACAAGAAAAGCCCAAGCTTACCTGTGCGGTAGACAAAGTTGCCTTCGGTTTCTGATGATGATGGAGACACCAATTCTTCCTCAAATTCATTGGAGCTAAAAGATCCTGAATGGTTCCTTTGCCTCGTTTTCCCCATCATGGCGGTGCTAGTGGCCATGACATGTCTCAAAGAGTCGTTAAGGTAACGATTCAACAAGCTGCTCTTGTATTTGGGGGGTGATACATAGTCCTCGCTGGCCCGCGACTCGGGGCGCACGCTGGCTTTGATGGTCGTGTTCTCACTTTTAATCACAGGGTGATGAACCGGAGTGTTATAGCCCCCTTCATTCATGTGTGGTCGTGAAGGGTTCTCCCCATCTATGAAGAATACATACAGTGTGTCAAATCTTCGTTGATATGTGAGATTCAGTTTTAGGCAAAACAAGGCAGTCATCTATGTAGTCTCTCCTATAATATTTTAATTTTAATTAATTTCACAGAAAAGGTGATTCCACACACAGTCAGTCTGTAAGCAAATAGTTCACATGTTCTGGCCATAGTTCTGTTGGTCATTGACTGCAGTGTCAAAATTATTTCATGCAATGACAAACAGCTGTCGCAGCAGCATCCTATTTGGTGAGGTCAGTCTTACAAGTGGGAACGGAGGGGAATTTCTTATTCAGAGGCAAAGCAAAAGGAGACAGAATGACAAGGATTAACACACCTTCGGAACAGGAATCGTCACTGCTTACACTGAGCCGCTCAGCATTCCCTTGCACGTATTTGTTGTACAGCTTGATCCTCAAAGCCCAGCTTAAATCCGGCTGCCGAACGGTGTTCTTAAGCCGACGTCTTGCGTTAGCAAACCAGTTTGACACCTAAAACGGGAGCAGTTTTCCATCAACAAAGCACAAAAGCGTGACTCATTCTGTATTTACTTTGTCACAAAGGATCCAAGCATCTGCCAGCATCTTTGGTCAGTAGACAGCCTCAGACATAGGAGCACTGGATGCTCAGGACTGATCATTCTTTCAGCAGTGCTGAGCACACGTGACAGAAATCGAGCTCTTTCTAAATGCTGGGAAAGTAAAGAGGCCTTGCCATCAAAAAAGTTTTTGGTCTTAACTGAATGGCACCTACATGCTTAAGAAACATGACTTTGGTTTGTCACACAGTGCTCCCTCCCCTGGTTCTCTGTCCCACCTGTTTTCCTAGCTTCCAGCAAGCACCTGAGATGCCAAAGAATGGGGAAAATGGCAGGAAAGCCAAATGAAGCCAGGTTTGGTGGTGCACACCTGTGGGCTCTCCTACTAGGGAGGCTAAGATGCAGAAGATGCAGTTTGAGGCCAGAAGTTCAAGACCAGCCTGGGAAGTTACCTACATCTCATCTCAGAAAATAAAAAAACAAACAAAACAAAAAGGTATATAAGAATCCAAAGGAGAAAAAGGATTCTTTCCCAGTGAGACTCAAGTCTTCACGAGGAATTTAAGCTAGTAAATGAAGGACAGCTAGAGCGTGTCAGGTGGAGTGGACAGAAGGTGTATTCCTAACAAAAATGAACAAGGAACAAATGTAAGTCACAATTCATGGGTGTGCTGGGCGGTGATCAAGAGGGAAGAATTAAGAGGATCTTGAAACATCAAACCTGGGCAACCAAGAGGAGTAGCACCATTCTGAGAAAGTGTAACTTTTTAAAGGTTAAATGATGTGGTTGGTTAGGGGAACATCTCATTTGGGGCACTAGAAGAGCATATGAGTGAGACATCCAGCAAGAAATAAAAAGTCATACTTGAAACTTAAAGGAGGAAATGATCAGACTTGAGAGGCATGAGTACAGAGATGATGGCAGAGGCTGTAAGGAGGCAAAATAAGAGGGTCAGGGGTCAAGCATGGGAAGCTGCCAGCCGTAAGGAGCGGGAACCATTGCGAGAGACGGCAGCAAAATGACCAGAGCTGGAGCAGAGGGGCAGAAGACCAGAAAAAGCCAGAGTCCTGAGCTTTGAGTGAAAGTCCAGTGCTTCTAAAGCAACTGGGTGAGGCCAAAGAAATGGGTACCCCCAAACAAAGAAAAATCACCTTTGTTCTTTTTTCAAGATGCCATTGGATTTCCAGAGGCTAACGTAGCCCTTGGGATTTCTTTGAAAATATCAGGATCTTATCAGAGTGCAGACTTTAAAAAAAAAATCTGCAAGCAAAAACTTCTTTTAAAAGAATGAAACATGAGAAGAGATTTAAGTCTTCCTGTCCGTTTGTTTCAGAACGTGATCCCATGTTACTGTATGGTTTATGTGGCAAAGGTTTCACTGGAAGTTTCTGTTTTCTTTTCCTTTCTGTTACACTGTCATACACAATTTTACACACTGATCAAGCCCTAATTGTTGGATGTAACTATGGTAAGTTCTATTTTAAGAGTAGCAAAATTTTATTTTGTTCTCCCCATCTCTGTGACTAATGCATGACAGTTCTTGCACAGAAATTTGACACTAGTGTGTTCTGCATTACCTCCTTCGGCCTTAGCCATGAACACTGCCCCTTCACGTCACATTTATGTGCAGTGGTGTTACATCATCTCTCTGTGGCACTGCAGAAGACTTGGTCTTCACCAACTTTGCTTCTTGTTAAGCTGAACTAGTGTTACTGTGACTTAGTCTGACTCCAAGAGCCCAATCTTTTCATTCTGTCTAGACAAAATCAGAACTATTTGTTCAACAAATATATATATATATATATATATATATATACATATGTATGATATGTACATGTATATATATATACATATGTATGATATGTACATGTATATATATATATGAGAGACAGAGAGAGAGAGAGAGAGACGCTTGGATGTGGGAGAGAGAAGCTGTACTATGTGAGTCGTGGCATTCAGTGCCAGGACTGAGTCATCTTTATCCCCTGCAGCCCAGATGGATCAGCAGTGGAGATGGGATTAACCAGGATGTAGAGGTGACCATTCACACGGACACACAAAGCACCTGACCCCTTCCTTCACATTCTCAAACCTGTCTCTGATGTTCCAGCTCGCTGCCAAAGTTTTCACTGCGTCCTCATGAGTACTAACTAGGAATTTTATGACGGTCTTCCCACTTCCCTGTCCTCCATTCTATCCTTCTGAATGAATCTATTTTAAAGTTTTTTTTAAACTCTTATTAGTACATGTTTGTAATAATAAGATTACATGCATGGTTAACAGCCCTCAACAAATTCAACTGTTTACAGTCATTTTTACTTAATTGCTTAATTTCTTCAAGTCTTCATTGATGTGCTGCAATCCTAACTGTGGTGTGAGGGCAAAAGACCTGGTCTCCTGGCCAGAATTGGTCAAAACATGATGCACAAATCTAGTTAGGTCACTCGACGTTCCCTAAACTTCAAATCTTTTCTCTCTAAAATCGCTACCTGCTTCACCTCTCCTGTGTCAGTGTTGACTCGCTTTGTGTTGGTACAAACCTACCTTCTGCTCTTCACGCTCCTCTCTCTAGCAGCCAGCTCTGTGTGATTTTTCCTGCTTTCCTCCTCCTACACAAGGAGCACAGCTGGCAGTTTCCCTGTATTACTCATATTTAACAGAACACAACTCCAAAACTTTTCTGTTACTTTCTTTACTAAATTGCATACAATCTAGAGTGAATCAAATTTTAACCAATCTTAACTAGATTATACTGTACCCACATACTGCAGTTTAAAAACCAATTCCTACCACAGTCATCATATAATGCAAACATAACAGACTTCTAATAAAAAACATTAGTACACTATAACTCTAATGTACATAGCTATTTTTCATATATAGGGGTCATATCCTTTTCAATGATTTATATGCCTACAGTTCTTACCATATTATAACACTTATACATTAGGAAAATTTCCAGAAAAGTTTACTGATATCTAACAGTCTGATTCTAAATTGATTTCATAAGTTTGATTGTTATCCAATTTGTTAATAAATTTATTCTGCCAATATTTTTCACCAGCAATATGCAGTATAACCTGGAGGCTAAGGCAGACATAGTCTAAGGTATTTTATATATGTTTATCAGTAAGTCCTATAAATGGGATACAAAACACTGTTTGATTAATTTGAATAATTTTTGCATTTTTTCCTGATAATTAATGCAAACCCATATCTCGCTAAAGATAGAAATACCAGTTTAAATTTTCTATCTTTGACCTACTATGGCTCCCTTCAGGGTGTAATGCATAGTCTCTTTAAACTGTGTTTTATATAAAACAGGCCTCCTTACCAAGAATAAATTCTGGAACAGCATTCTAAAGTTAAACTCAGTGCTTTTAAAAACCACACATTTTACAGGGAAAGCATAGAGAGCCAAATATCTGGAACTGGACGAGAAAACTAAAACACTTTTATCCTATTCTAACAGAGGTGTTTACACTCACCATACAGACAGAGCAATCATTACAGTGAATCTGAAGGGTAAACTGGCATGGGGTCCACCTTTGAACACACTGAACTGACAAACTCATTTTGGGTTATTCTGCTGAAATACTGAGCACCTGGTTTCTACGTAGTAGAATCCTGGGAATAATGTATTCTATAAGGACGATTTGAGATTTTGTTGACTATTGGACAGTTGCTATAATTGATTTGGGTGTACCTGTTTCAGCCATGACACTCACCTTCAGGTAAAAACAGAGCTATACCACAATGAGTGACATCTCACAACACAACAGCCTTAGCCAAGTAGATCAGAGGGACTTGAAGTTTTTAAAAAGACCAAGTATTAATCCTTGGCATGTACCTAGAAGAAAACTCCAATCTCATACAACTTCATATTATTATTCCACAATAAAAATATTTATATTTTGAGAGTACAAAATATATTTTTCAAATGTTTGGGCAATAGCCAGCTATAGGAACCAAGCACAATGGAATACTTTGCTCAGTTAAAATCAATGTACACACAAATCAGCCTCGTGTTAATTTTTTTAAAATGTTATTATCACATTAAAAAGATGTCAAATTAATAATACAAATAAGAGTTAAGCATAGTTGAGCATAGCCACAGCAAATCGCAACAAACTACCCAGGTCAAGTGAGCAAAAAGAAATGAAATTGGCACAAACATTTCCCTTCTTCATGTTTCAAGGACAAACATAAGTGGGTACTGATTAATGTCTTCTGATTAGCAAAACTTCTACTGATAAGAAAAAGCACCTTTTGAAGTCCGCAAGACTATTTTTATGTTTTTAATTCTAGGCTTCAAGGGACATTTCTGACAAGATTCCACACTCTTCCTTATCAATTTAAAGTAGTGAAAATACTGTGCATAAAAAGAGTAACACGACCCAAAGGAAAAAAGTAAATACAAAAGAAACTTCCTTATATATTTTTATAGTTAAGGAATAAAACAGGCTGACAGCTTATAAATATAAGCCACGAAAAATGCAAGACAGGAAAAAAATAAAGGTTTGACAGATGTGAGAGAAGCATTCCATATTTGCCTCTAGACATAGATGTGATATATTGCCAGGTATTTTGAAAATAAAATGGGTTATATTTGTCCTTGTGCTGCAGAACTAGCATACAGAATTAAAGGCCACAAGCCCCTCTCTATGTGTTCCATACACTAGGACGAGTTTTAAAGTAGAAGATCTTAAGAATTCAAGACTTTCTTTAGTTGTCAGAGAGATATTTTGGAAAGCTACATGATGAGTACAGTATTATTTTCCAGAAGTAAACTCTTTATTCCACAAAAGTGTGTGGACAACTTACTACATGGAAAGCCCTAGGCTGGGGAGAATGTCACGGGTAAGACATGAGCACGCTTCTCGAGAGGGTTGACTTCCCAGGAGAAGCTTACTCACTGGGAGAGTCTGACTCACTACTTTGGGTCTAATTTGCATGGTTCAAAAGCTTTATTCAGATCACAGCTTTGTATTTGCCCCAGAAATGTAAACTATAATTTATGCAGTTTTCCATACTCACAATTTGCTTTGGATGTTTAGTTTATGTTTGAATTATACACACTCATATATATGTATAAAATATACATATAGCATATATATGTATGTATTTTACAAGTATATACACAAATAAAATATATTTATAAAATTTACAAAGACATACCATTGTGCCTAGTTGAAAACTGAACATAAACTGGATCCTACATTAAGGTGCCTTGGGTAATTCTATACATATTAACTTTTTCCACTTATTACTTTAAAGTTTAAGAAATCAACTTAGATTATGGTGAAATGTGAAAATCTATATACAGGTATCATTTGCTATTATCAATAATCTTTGCCCCATTTAAAAATTACATATTTTGTGCATTTCTTATTTTCTGAGGACTAATATAAGAGAAAGAAAATGGTTTTGAATAGATATTTCATGTAAATTACCGAAATGTAATAGCCTTATCAAAATGTAACTGTAAAAAGAATTGTTATATGTATTAAAACTATTGTTACAGGTAGCAAATAATTTGATTCATCATGAAAATTATAATTACTTGAGTTGCATCTCAACAAAACTACTACATAAAAGTTTAAATGTTGGGGCTGGGGATTTAGCTCAGCTGCATAAGCGCCTGCCTTGCAAGCAGGCAGTCGTGAGTTCGATCCCTGGTACCAATAAAAAGGAAAAGGAAAAAGACAAAAAACAAAACAAAAAAAAGTTTAAATGTCTCTCCTTATTTTTTCATAACTAAAATACGTTTTAAAATAGTCAATTTTTTGGTTTCTCTATGAAAGAATGGCAACCAAAATCAGTGATGCACTGTTGATATTATTGTGAAATATTCAATAACTATAAACTAGTGCATGTTCAAAATAAATAGCATACATGTTTAAACTAAAATCAGCATATGCTTTTATTTTCAGGTCACTTTTCTGATTACAATAATTGATTTAGAAACTACTTTTGTAAATCACTAAACAGCTCATAAGTTTTTAAATGTTTTTATCAGTACTTGCTTGCTACATAATGATTATATTCATTATGGAGTTATTTTATGTTGAACAGGTATTAAGCCAAGAAGTCTTATATTAGATTCTCCCTCTAGTGCTTTTGGAAATCACTAGAATACAATTTCCTGTCAATAAGAAGGAAAATAGAGGGTTTCTTGTACAGCTATATTCTGAAAATAAGCAGAAAAATACATATAATTTTGATAGGCCTGATGTCAAGCCAGCATTCGTGTTTTGTCAAAAAGTAATTTGTAACTGAAAAGTTTAAACACTCAGAAAAGAGATTTTTATTTTACTATTTTGCTTAATTTGGGGTGTTTCCTTTACTAAATTTCACAGGATGTTCAGTATCTCACAGACGGAGCTGCTGTACTGTGTAAAATGCCCTTCCTGGTCCATCCTGCCCTTCCTTCTGTCCTTGGGTCTAGCTGTTCTGTTTCCTTCATAAACGTCCATGTCACTAAATTTTTTCAAGAAAACTGTGCTGAAATGGAAAAAGCATTTGATCTAAAATTATATTTCTATTGCCAGGCCCACCTCAGCGCCTTACTGACACTGAACATCCATGCTCTTTGGCTACATTGTCGTCGGTGAACTGTGAACAGTAACTGCTCTACATCGCTATGTTTTTACCAATAGCAAATATAACTGTGTTTAGGAAAGCCAGCTCCATGCAAACCAGCGCCTGTTCACTGGAGGAGAAACAGCCTCGCACCATTTCTCTGCATTTGGCAAAGAACTCAGCCATCTGACCACTGCACTCTGCCTCCTCTCCTTCAGCCTGGGAGAAAAGCACCAGTAGCAAAGTACCTCCTGTACTAATGCCTTCCATCCTCCTGTCCATCTAATGCCTTCTGTTTAAAAAATATATATATATCGAAACTCATCACCTGTCTCCCTAGTTCCCTCTCCCCTGTGTTAATAATTGTAATTCTGAGAGCTACTCCAAATTTAAGTTTTAATACGAGGCCCTATGTGTTGCTCCCAAGTTCTAAGATTCTCAAAGATTTTGAGCCCAAAGTCAGAAGCTGCAGAATCCCTCGAGAACTTGTTAGAAATGTCACTTATTGATCTGACTGGAGCCTACTAAATGAGGAACTCAGATGCGGAGCTGGAGTCTGTGTTTTCCCAAGCCGCTCAGCTTAACCAGGTGCGCACTAAATGCCAGCAGCTCCACCTATGTACCTCACACCTGAATGTAGATTACCAGTGCCTTCTCAGAATTCTGAAGCTGATCTTCCAGTCCCCACCTCACGGCACGTTCTACCATCCCTGGGGGAGCGAGCATTCCCACCGAAATGATAAATAAGAGAAGCGCAGAGCTCTGAGGGCCCCCTACCCAGCATCACCCTCTGCAGTCAAAGCCAAGCATCCGGCCCGCCCTTCCCTGGGCTCTGGGCTCCATCCTCCCCTGCGCAGGATATCCTGCTCAGCCAGCAGGGGGGATGGAGTCAGAGCCTGCTGGGTCCCTTTACCTGCACTAGCGTCATCTGCGAGCCGAGGGCCAAGAGTATCTTCTCGGTCTTGGTGGGATACGGGTTGTCACGGTGCTTGTAAAGCCACTGCTTCAGGGGCCGCGCCATGTCCTGCAGGGCCTGACGCTTGTGCCTCACCTTCCCGCCGTTTTGCCGGGCCCTAGAACCCCGGGAGAGGAGGAAGCCTTGGTGAGCGGCGCCCTAAGGGATATGCCACGTGATCCCAGCCTTTGGGGAAGGCTACCAGGGCCCCAGCCCCAAGAAGCACCCCTCTCCACATGCCCCCAGGTTGAGACCAGGCCAGGAATCCACACTGGCCTGCTAACCGTGACAGCACCTACTCTAAGCTGATCTTGACATGGAGAATACCCTCAGCCTCAAAGTTAGGGATGTGGGAGATAAAGCTTAGGTGATATGAAGAACAGAAGGGGTGACTGCACCCTTCCCATCGCCCCCTGGGGTTACGCCCTCAAGAGTCCTGGCCTCGCTGGCAGCCTAGGCCTTTCAGTCTGCCTGTGATCAGGGGAAAGGGCGCCCAGTGGACATCAAGAATCGAGCAAAGGATGGAAACTGCCCAGTTGTTGGAAGTCTCCGCTACTGCTTTTGATCCTCTGGGAAAGGGAGGAAACTTTCCGAAAGAAAGGTTTGCGCAAGAAAGACGCACAATGTAAGAAACACTCAAGAGGCGCTGTTACCTGGCTAAGGCAGGATGGAAAGTGTGAAAGCTCAATCCTAGCAGGCTACGTAAAAAGACCCCGGGAAAAACATATGCAAAGGAGGCGCAGCAGCAACCCCGAGGCCACGACCGCGCTGCGCTCCCGGGCGGCTCCGGGAGGTGTCGCCTCGCCTCAGCCCGAGCGCCCGGGTCTGGGAAGCTGGAGCGCCTGCGCCGCTGCCTGCTGGCGTCTGCCTTTTTGAACACTTTGAAATGCAATTCCAGCCGAACCGCCTGGTAGTAAATTTTTTTTTTTTTGACGAAACTTAATCTCTATTTTACTAACCAGCTAGGCCGCAGAGCAAGCTGCTGATGCAATCTTTCAGGTGGAGGCAGCCAGGACCACGGCTCCTCCCCTGGCCTCCTAGACCTGGCCATTAAAGTCTAACCTCCAGCCCTCACCCTGCACCGGAGCAGGTGGCCCCCAGTCTCCCAGGAATCCCTTCACCTCGCTGAACCGAAGGCCCGCCGAGCGGCGAGCGCCCTGGATGCCCAGCAGGGAGGTGACCTTCCCAATCCCTCTCCAGGGCGTGGGACCGGATGACAGAAAAGCAGACCCCCGAGAGACCTGACCCCAGGGTCCCAGACTGTTGTTCTACCCTGTTTCTACGCAGCCCGTTCAGTCATTTCTGCGCCAGCAGAACGAACGAACAGGGGACAAGAAACAACCCTGAGGTCCAGGTAGCAGAGGAGGGACAGCATGCCCCAGATTAGCCTTTGCCCAAAAGCCTCTTCCACTGTTCAAACGAACGGATCGCTAATGTTCTGGGATCCCAAATCCATAAAACAAGGCCATGCAACCCCAGGTGACCCGTACTTTCCTTCTTGGGGAAACCCTGAGTGACCAATTCCAGGGTGCCAAGCCTCGGACCCAAGGGTGCATGAGTCCACCCTGCTGGGTGCAGGAGGGCAGGGCCCCAGGAGCGCACGCCTACCCAGTCCTCCGGTGTCTCAGGCCGAGGTTATCCTTGAGGGGTGGGCCGTCGGCAATGCCCACTTCGGGGTGGGCGCGGGGACTGTCCAGGACACTGCTGTAGGGCCGGCCGCCCCGCTCCCGTTCTGCAGCGCCTCTGTCTTCAAAAAGCACCGCGCCGCTGAGCTTGTTGAAGACGATGGAGTTCATGGTGCGGGCTGGCAGGAGCGCGCAGCGCGGCCGCGGCGCCTCGGGGCCCGGCAGCCAGGAACTCCGCAGCAGAGCTGGAGTTCTAGGAGACCAAGGTGCATCGCGTTACCGCCTGACAAGGCTCGGATTCCCGCAGGTTTCGGGCCCTGGACTTGGAGGGAGCGCTGGGCTGTGGAGCCCAGGGGCGGGGCAGCCCCGCAGCTACAGGACCAGCAGACTCCCGCCTCTCCCACCTGTCTCTCCACCCTCCCACCCAGCCACTGTTATCCAGGACAAATCGCAGCCTTTCTTTCGGGGCATCAAACTCCCATCCCTACTTCCCAGGAACCTGAATCAGAAATAACGCACCTATGGGGGCAAAGGGAGCAATTCTCAAAGGAGCCTCGCGGTTCAAAGAGGAGCACTGAGGATGGGACTAGCTCAGCAGGGCGAGCAAGGGGCTCTGTGTGTCCTTCCATCAGAGTGCAAGCACCTGGCACCCTGACTGGAGACTTCGGGAGGAGTGGGGTAGAAGAGAACACTTAGGGTAATACAACCAACTGCATCACTGCATCAGCAAGGGCCCGTTAACGAGTCCCCTGCCATGCTAGGATTCAGGGATTTTCTTGTTTTCTAGATCTTGGGCTCCTGGCTGAAACCCCTGTGACTTCCAGCTAAGGTTCTCCAGGTTCCAGCATTGGAAAGCTAAGCGGTGTAGGAACAAATGCACCACATTCTTTCAAAAATGAGCTATATCCCCAAGAGCATCCCCGGACGCGCAGGGTCCAGGCAGAGGCTCTGCGTTCCCGACCCTCAAAGGCTGCTCGCCCGCCGCGCGTGTGCGAGCCACAAGCTGGGGGCCGTAAAGGTGTCAAGCGACCTAAGGCAGGATGCGGCGGAAGTCGGGGCGCCACACCTCCCCTCCGCGGCTGCAGTCTCCGAATCCTGCAGTTCACCTGGGATCCGAGGTCTGCAGCCTCTGCCCACCCCTCTCAGGCGTCAGGGTCCAGCCCGCGCCGCCAGGGAAACGGCAGATCGCCGCCCCGCCCTGCCCAGCCCTGAGCCTAGGGGCAGCGCCCTGGTCCTTGGTGCAGTCTCCACTGCAGACACCCCCTCCGTTCCCCCAGTCAGTGCTTCACCGGGTATCTGCACGCGCCAGGCCCCCGCTCCGCCCTCCGGCCACCGCACCGGCCACCAGCGATTAAAGGGTGGCCACCGCATGCCCTAAGGCCAAGTCCTCCGGAGCTGACAGGTACGTGAGGGGATGAGCACACAGCCTCAGCGATCAGTGTCACAGCACGGGCCGGTGCTCGACGTTCTTTTCCCATCAGGGAGCTTGTTGATTTGCGTTCCTGCCGTTTTATTTGTAAAGCAGCCCTTCCCAAACCTCCCTATGTGTCCCCTCCCAGCTCTGGCCTCCTACAGGCAACCGCGTGCTTCTCCTAGCGAAGCGTTTGCTGCTCCGCATCTCATCCGCGCAAAGAGCGCACCCGCGGATACCCGCCGCGCTCCGGGTCTGCAGACCCGAGTGGTGATAAACATCCGAGAGCCCAGAAACATGGGACACCTCCCTTTCTAAATCCTTCCCGGGCTCCCGCGTGGGATACAAGACGTTTGCTCCCCACTTACCCAGATTCACTCCACACTGTGCTGGGGCGCTCACTCCCTGCGGAACTGCCCCGCCCAACGCCCGCCAATAACTTTAAAGCTGAGGAGGCGCGGCCAGGTGGGCGCCCCGGCTCCCCGCAGACCCTGGAGCCAGCCTTGGCAGCCGCGGAGGGCGTCCCCAGCGGACCTCCGAGAGAGGTGGGGGAAGGGCGAGACGAGCGGGGACGCCGGCTCGGACGAGTCCCGCGCCCTGCCACCCCCGCCCGGAGGGGACCGGCGAGCTGGGCAGTACCTGCTGCGGTGCAGCTGGCTCCCCCGCCCCGCGGCTAGGCGCGCGCCCATCCCCGCAGCATGTTCTCCGCGCGGGCTGCAGCACGATCCCCGCCGCCACCGCTGTCGCCTCGGCTTTATTTACCCGGACGGGCGCGCGCGGCCCGGGAACAGGAATGCCGAGGCCTTCTCATGTTTCCTGACCGCCAGGGCCAGCCGGCGAACATCCTGCTGGCGCGGTATCCAGGTTCCCGGGCCGTAGAGAGGAAGCGTTCGCGCCTGCGGGGCCCGGAGAGCTGCTGTTCCCTCCTCGCCGAGAAGCTGCCCCGGGCCCCTAGTCCTCCCGGGCGGGGCGCAGCTCCAGGGCCTCCGGCCTTGCGGCTGCGGAGCGAAAAAGCTGTTTCCTTCGCACTTTGGAGAGTGCTTGTAGGAGCCTCCAGGAGCGCTCGCTTCGGCTCCGGGAGCTGCGACGCTGCGGTGCAAACCCCAGGTCCCGGCTGGAGTGCCGGAAGCGTCACCGCGCGTGGCTAGGGGCAGAAGCCGCCGTGACGCGCTCCATGTTTTCCTCGAGATTAGCGAGTGTGAGCTCTGGTTTGCACCTACAACGCACGAGTGTGTTGATCGGGGTTCTTGTGCCTTGGCAGCCTCTTTTGTGGGGTCACTGGGCTTCTCAGGTCCTGGGTGTCTTGGGCAAGGCCAGGTATAGAGGCGTCTGGGAGGGCAAGCCCTGAAGAGGTTGCAGTGATCTCTGGGGACGGGGAGACGGAAAGGCCAGGATGGGGCAAGGCGAGCCCAGGTGTCCAAGCCTTGGTGACCCAGGTGCAGAAGAAGTAAAGCGCCCAGAGTCAAAACTCTGCAGCAGCCAAGGGGGATGAGACGGGAAGCAATCTGGAGCTCCGACATAGGGTAAACAGAGAGAATGTGTCAGATTCTCCTGAGGATATTTTGTTAGCCGCCTAGCAGGAGCAGCTAAACTTGCTGTGGCTTAGGTGTAACTGGAAGAGCAGAGGTGCTGGCGGCTTAGACAATGGACCCCTAAGGCAAGAACACTAACGTCCCCGGCAGCGAACGACCTGCACGCTTGCCTGGGCCCTGCCACCTCTGTGCACCTCTCATCTATTTTAAGAGCATAAGGAGAGTTCCCCAAATCCTTTTCTCTAAAGCTGGCTAGCCGGGCTGGGGTAGGAGTCCACTTAAGTGTCTTCCTTTACTGTATACCACAGATGTTATGTTTCCAAGACTAATCACACCCTCGAATTCTCAAATCTGCTGTCTTCCCAAACACTGGACAGCAAACCAGGCAGCGGCACAATCTAAAGTAGAAAGAAAGTTAGGTTCGCAGTTTTGCGCACTAGGCAAATGCGTGCTATGCTTTCACCACGTTGCCTATTGTCCTCAGCGCTCTTCTGTTACATAACTTGAGGCTGCGGAGCTCGCATCTTGTCCTTGGCGCTGCGCTTGGAGCGTGGCTTCAGAGGGCTTAAGTCTCCTTCGCTGAGGCATTCAACAAACACGTTTCACGATAGAAAGGCACCTAACCGGCAATGCGCAGGGGGGAACTGTCACGTATTCTTCTACGGTCTCTATGAGCCGTGGCGAACATCATAGAGCAATCTACTGTGACATACCCCTCCGACTCTTTTTTCGTGTTTTTCCTTTTGGATCAGCTGTCCCAGGTAAAGCATCAGGCGTGTTTGTAGATTTTGCAATTTTAGGATATCCTGCTGGCCTATTGAGCTGTATGTTATAGTAAATGTTTTTATAGGACAAGAGAATTTCTAGGAAATATATTTATGCAGTTTTAAAAGACATTCAGAGAACTTTAACATACATTGAAATGGAAGATTTGTTTTCTTAAAGCCTAAAATAAAATAGACAGCCAAGTCTTTATGAAAACCTGCTTTTATTTTTGGTAGAAGTAATAATACACCTTCATAAGTCTCAGGGGAAATCACTGAAAATTAATATATGGTAATTCCTTTGGACTATAATTTAATAATTAGGGTTCATTCTAAAGTGAAAAACAGTTGGCTGCCCATTTTAAAAGTGAAACTGTAGATGATCTCTCTAAAATACAAATGGGAATTTATTTTGTGATAGATCAAAATTTCATTTTGTGAGCTTCATCTTCTATACCCAAGGATGTCTTCATCCACAATCCAAATATGTTTATTGTCCTGTTAAATTTCACCTTTTCTAGTTTGAATTTTATTCCACTACTTCTGCTTTATTTCAATGTCAGTTTATCACATAAATGCTCCTTAAAATGCTGAGAAGAAAAATTTCTAGTTTTAGAAAGCACCATTAGAAGATTTAAAAGCATATGTAGTTTGTAGGAGACAATTATGGGGTGGGGGCAGAAAAGAAGTTGAAAAACTTAAGCCCTGAGTTTAATTTTAGTTCATTTGATGTTGATTGAGCCTTAATTTGCTAAAGTATAAAATGAAGATAGTAAGTTTTCCACAATCTTGCCTCACACTATTATTATGTGTTTTTAAATGTGAAAGTAATACATTGCTATTGCTAAAACCAGAAACTTGTGAGGAACATTTGGAGACAATTTAACCCATTGCATTGGACCTAGTGTATAGCTATAAGTATAATTTTTACTTTCTAGTAAAACAAGACTTCAGTTTTAGCATTTTGATATTTTTATCAATGTACTCTGGTGCTTCAGAATAAATATTGGTCAAAATGTTTGAAAACAAGTGTTTTTAAACCTCCTTTTGTTGTATAGCAAAGGAATCACCAAATGGCATAGAATAGATTCTGCTCAAATATTCAACACAGTAAGTTGATAATCAAATAGCAAGTTCACTTCACAGTAAGCCAGTTTGACTTGCAGAGCTATGTGTATTGGAGAGTTTAATTGGAACAAAGTTGTTGATGAAAGACATAGAAATAGTAAACAAATTAGTAGACTGTGTGGTCAGAAAGTATCTCACATGCGTTCCTTGTTTATAATCTGATGTTAATTGCATGAATAACATCTTGTGTCAGAAGAGATCTTTTCCACGAATTAACCTCAGTTAAAGAGACGAGTACAAGGTGACTCTCTAGGTCACCTAAAGCCACTCACACTCTACCAAGAAAACGTCAGGAGATGGGCATGGCCCTTTTGATGTGTGCTCTTTTAACCTTTTTCTGTGTATTCACAAACATGAATCTGAACAACAATAATTTTGTTTTATGAGTTTTTTTAAAAACATAGGACCATAGGGCACAAAAGTAGACACAAAGTATTCAACCAAGTACTTCCGTTTTCATTCAGTGATGTAACAGAGAGCTTGCCAATTAGTGTGTAACTGTTCTTGGTATATGATGCCTCACAGTCTATTTAACTAACTGTGAACATTTCTGCCTCTCAATGTTCATTATTGCAAACTGACTGAACACCCTTGTATACCACTCTTTCTGTATAACTTGTGTATTCTCTAAGAATAGCTACGTGGAAGTAGAGCTGTGGCATTAAAAGAAGCAGGTTTTTAAATTTTGATAGATGCTTCCAAATTTCCCTTCACACTACGCCCCCACTGAGGAGCACAAGTCCCTATTGCCTCGCGTGCTACACAGCACTGTAGATAACCTGTCCTTATAATGAATAAAATACGCCTCACTATGTGAGAACCTGTTTCTTTAGAACATTTAGACACAGATAGGAGTCAATATGTTACTCTCTTCCTTTTTGGGTTCTTTGTCTTGTTTCTTGCTTAAGAAGACTTTTTCTATATTTTCCTCTAATGTTTTTAAAAGTTGTTTTCACTGGGTTCTTTGATCTTCTTCAAATATATATATATATATATATATATATATATATATATGATTTGATTTTTAAAATATTCTAAGTGAATTGCCCATAATTCTTATGAAATTTATTATAGAATTTCTCCCTATGATTTATAATAACTTTCCTCATATGTATGGTTAATTCCTTTCCATATGTAGGCTGTTGTAACAACACTTTAAGCTACGTTGCCAAGTGCCCAATATATTCTAGTACACTTAACCTTTACAATCTTGCACTAAAGAGACCCATGATTAAACATTAAAACATGTCATGTTGGCATAGTAATGTGCATTGCCTGGTAATAGTTCTAATTTAGATGACTGCTTCAGTAATGGCCTAGGATATTGTTATTCTTTATCAACTTAGAAAGAGGGCAGTTTCCAGCAGCTCATATTTTTCAGAATGCAGTCCACAGAGAGCTTTCAAACACAACACATGAGAATGAGTGATAGCTTACTTTAAGTACCCTAGGATTATTTGTAAATGTGATACAAGCTGCTTGTCTCTCCTTGCTTAATTTTTAATGGAACGTAAGCTATTTTTTTCACAAAGCACTTAGGCAAGATAAGGAACTTTGATACTATTGTACATGCCCTGGACTTAAAAAAATGCAAACATTTTTGTCATCAAAAATTTAAAAAGGAGCTATCTAAGTACAGAAAATACAAATAATGTAAATAACAAGTAGAACTGAGATTCAAGTGGGTTACCGGTTCTACTTCAGAGTACCTAAAGTTAGGACTTTAAGATGATTGTTCTCTGGATTCGTAAGTTTATCAAGGAAATGAGTGTGAGTAAAACTGATGCGTACAACTTCCAGTAACACAACTGGAGGAAAATGACTCGCCCTTTCCTTTAGCAGAGGATGCAGGCGTAGCAATGTGCTGGTCTGCACAGGATGCTCCAATAGGAGAATACCATAGGTGGGCGGGAAAGTTCCTTTTTCGTGGTTCTGAAGGCTTAAAATCTGGCCAAAGTGACCTGTGGTGGGCACTGTCTCCTGGACTGGGTGGCTAGCACCTCCTCATGAAGGTGGCAAGGGTCAGGAGGTATGTGCTGGTATTTCTTCTTTTCTTATAAGGATGCCAGGATGAAGGCCCTACCTTTATACGTCACTTAACCTAAGTACCTCATTGAAGACTATGTCTAAATTAAGTAGTATGGATGTGAGAGCTGCAGCATTTGAATTTCAAGAGAACAAAATTCAGTCCACATAGCACCGGCGCTGGTCAGCTGAGTAGATAACACCCCAGGAAGTGCAGAGTTAAAAATGGAAAGAATCTGGGTCTTACAGTGAAGGGACCAGCAGAGACCTAAGCACAGCGAACTGTTTCCATAAAAGGTCCAGACAGTAGATGTTGGGGGCTCTTTTGGACCCTATGGTCTGTGTTTCAATTCTGCTGTGGTGGGACTGAAGCAGCCACAGACAGCACTTGACTACAAATGAGTC